GCCGCACGGTGGGCGAGGGGTGGCCCACGCGCGCTCACCTGGCGATGCCGGCGAAGGCCCACACGCTCTCGGCCAGGACGCTCTCGTTCTCGGGCAGGAGGGCCAAGCTCCGAGCGCCTTTGCTCTCCCATCCTGCGGGAGCCCGTTAATCCCCCCCTTTGCCCCCAGAGCCCCCCGACACCGGGGCCGTGTGTGCCCCTCCGTGCCTCGGTGTCCCCGTGACACTCACCGGCGTCGCGGGGCTGCTGGTGGAGCTGCCCCTCGGCCCCGCAGTCCCGGTAGGCCCCCGAGCGCAGCACTTTGCTGCGGATGGCCTTCTTGCGAACCAGCACCGGGGAGCAGTAGGGGTTCCCCGGGCGCCAGGAGCCGGCTCTGCCCTCTGCCTCCGGCCGCCGGTCCTGGGGAGGGGATGGAGCGCCTGTGAGAGGGGGTTGGGGGTTCTGCCTGTGGGGAATGGAATGTGAAACACTGGGCACAAAGAAGGCTGAGGAAGAAACGCGACAACAAAAGGTGACACCAAAAACGCGGCACCAAAAACGAGATGAAGATGCTACCGCCAAAAAAGCTGCGCCAAGGATGTGACACCGAAAGACGCAACGCCAAAAAAACCCCCCGCAACACCAAAAAAGCAACACCAAAATCGCGACACCAAAAACGAGACGAAGGTGCTACGCCAAAAAAGCTGCGCCAAGGATGTGACACCAAAAGGTGCAACGCCAAAACAAACAAACAAACAAACAAACAAAACCAAAACAACCAAACCGCAAAGCCAAAAAAAATGTGATGCAAAAAACGCGACAGAGACTTGACACCAAAAGTGAGATGCCGGAGGTGCAACACAAAAAAAAATGCTTCATCAAAAATGTGTCACCGAAAATGAGACATCAAAGAAAGCAGCACCAAAAAATGCAGCACCATAAAAAAATGCAACACCAAAAAATGTGTCACCAAGACACCACGCAGAAAAAAAATCCTGGGGGGAAAAATGCTGTGGAAAAACTGCAAGGCCAAAAAAGCTGTGAAAAACGCCATGCGGAAAAACGCTGTGCAAAAAAAAAATGCAACGCCAAAAAAAGTTATGGAAAACACCACGCAGAAAAACACTGTGCAAAAATTGCAACACCAAAAAATGCAACACCAAAGATGAGCCATGAAGGATGTGACACCGAAAATGCTGTGCAGAACAGGGGTGTGCAAAAAACCAAAAAGCCACGTGAAAGATACTGGAAAAAATGCAGTGAGAAATGTCACGCAAAAAGCCCCCTGCAAAAAATGCCGTGCAAAAAAAAAGTGCAAAAAAGTGATGTTCAAACCATGATGTGCAAAAAAGTGACGAGCAAACCATGATGTACAAAACACCATGGAAAAATGCCACCCAAAAACCACCAGGAAAAAGATGCCAGGCAAAAAAAAAGTCGTGCAAACCACCCTGCAAA